ATTAGTTCCCGCCATTTGAATACCAGAGACACTTTACTATTGCACCATGGAGCACTACATTTAGTACCCCCCTAGAATTGTACCCTTCGTTTAATTTCAATTATATTTGTGTAGTTATTTTCATTCAATAAACATGACCTTTATCTAAGAATCATTCGAAGTATTTCCCATTGGATTTTATCTTTTCCCTCGCATAAAATCACTGGGTACAAATCAAGTTAGCCAGTATTTTTTGATTTGTACCCCGGGTATTGAATGCAATGCTTTACGGTACTTCAATAAAACTTCGCCTCGAGCCAATCAAAATTAGCATTATTAAATACTTACGCTCTTGTCAATCAATGAGAATTAAGGTCCCGATTCTTATAACTTTGGGTCACGTATTCTTGTCCAGGTTGCTTTACACCATTATAGCGCGCATAAAATGACCATTGCAAATTTGCTTTTATATATACCTTTTAATCACATTTAGCATTTAAGTACAAACACATTATTCGTTCATTACATAATATTATTTTATATTAATTTGTTCATAAAGCTTAGGCGGTGAAGCCGCCTACATGTCATATGATTAATACTATCCTGGGTAGTTTATACGATAAACCAAAGAAAGTATTTAAACAAAAAAATTAAGCCAATAATTTCTATACTGATAATATAATATAATATAATATTAATTTTCTATATAAATTTCTTATCTTTCAGTAAATACATTAAACCTTGGTGACGAAGTCGCCATATATGCAAGTTCTATTTATGTATTGTTAATCGATAATCGAAGTCTTTATTTAATTCTAGTATAAGCCCCTTTTAATTCGATATCCGTTGGTTTGAATATAATGCTTATCCAAAACTATGATTCTCTGTTATACATGCATAATATACCAATACTATACAATACAGCACGCTCATTTCTAGCTCCCTTCGAACAACTCAAGCGCCTAGTTCCTCCATAAATCTATATTGATTATCAAATTGATTTGTTCTTTGTTTTATTTGATATGGAGTGAACCCTATATAAGATGGATGATGATTTAAACATTAGAATTTTGCAAAATTTTTAAACTATTGAAATAGACGCACTTTAGAATTTTTAAAATTATTATATAATACTATATAAATGTAAAACACCATAGATGTGTTTTAAAAAAATGATTTAATCAAGTACACTTACTTGGTTTAGTTCTCAAGTGAGATGTTTGACCTATTTTATTTAAATAAAATATTGCTTCGAACGAAGCAGTTTCATCAGAATTATGAAGGATGAACCATTGGATGGAATGCTCTTGATAAGAAATCTTTTTATTCATTTCTGCATTGTTAAAAGATTTAGAATCTTCATTATTTTCATTAACATCATCGTTAAGTGATTTAGAACTTGTATTACTTTCATTCACTTCATTGTTAAAAGATATTGTGTCCTTATTCTCTTTACTGTCGGAAGATTCATAATTAAGACAACGTATGTTGACTAACATTTTGTTATATTGATAACCTTGTACTTTGGCTATGAGATTTGGTTCATAATTTGAAGGTGGATATTTAAACGAAAATACAATAACAGAATCATGTGGCAAACCTTCTGGTACTTTTAAGACGACATTATTATATAACTTTAATCCAAATGGTTTATTACCCGAGCCCAAGATGTTTATTTTTCGAGTATTCGTGTTAAAATATCCAACTTCAGCAGGTATTCCTATTAATATCCAGGCAATTTTTGGGTCCTTATATGTGAGCTCACTAAAAATTAGAGGATTAGCAAATTATTTAAGCAAAAATTGATCAACGTCAATATAAAATAAAACTTACTAATTTTCAATAAAAACCAAAAACCCATCTGTGTCCATAAAATCGAATTTAACAATCACCTCATCAATTGGTTCTTCATCTTGCGTAATAAATTTTCCAAAAACTTTATAATTATTAGATTTTAAACAAATAGGAAAGTCTAAACTATATGAATAGGGAGGATCTTTAATTTGTATTATCCCTGTCATAAGAACTTTTTCCTTAATATTACTGATATGAGTAGACTCAATTTGATTATTAAATCCAAGCATATTTTCAACTTTGTTGTTAATTCCAAGAATAGATTCAACTTTTTGGCGAAGAGATAAATCAAAAATTTCATACAATGGATATAATTATTTGCAACTAATGACTTGCAATGTGCCAAGGTCACTATCTAAACAAAATTTAATCCATTCTTTGAGTTGATTTTTCATAATTAATCCGCCATTAATTGAAACGAGGTAAGATAAATCTAAGTTATAAGACTCCATGCGCTTTTCCCATTCACTCAAGATATCCCCAAATTTACTTTCTGAAAAATCATTAAGAGACGTCCATTCTGTTTCATTATTTTCATAAAGATTTTCAGTTAAATTTTTATTCACAGTTAGATAAGCCATTCGGTATATTTTATGCCCGAGAATTATCTTTTTTGGTAAAAAACACCCATAAATATTAAAAACTTTCATTAATTCATGATAAGGGTCATAATGATTCAGTGCTTCTTTCACTTTTTCAGTCAATTCATCAGACGGATTGATTCTTTCTTTTTCAATAGTTAATTCGACTCTTGAGCATTGTATTATTAGAAAAATATCATTTGTAGAAGATTCATCGACAAGGACCTTTGCAAAATTTACGGTCTCGTCAGTATCAAATCTCTGGTTGATATAAACTAAATCATCATTAAAGAGTTCAATATGATTTTTTAACAAAAATGATTCTTTCTTAGTTGTAGAATTTACTAATTTTGCATGAAAAGTGGTATTTTTGGTGTATTGGTGTTCATGTTGTGACTTGAAATCATAAGAAATAAAATCTGAAAGGCGGATTCCTTGTGCACTGATAATTAATCCGCGATTAAAGTTTGAGAAGTTTGCGTTATTCATGTTTCTAAAATTAATGATTTCAAGAGTCGTCATTGAGATTCTAACGTTTGTATTTTTATTGAATATATAGGTGAAATAAATGTGTTACGTTAAACATTGAGGAAATTGTAAAGTAATGCTACACACGCTTAATGTTTCTGTAACAAACGCTTCCCCAAACTTTTCTTTAAAGAAATTGTAAGGTAACGCAACACACGCCTATCATTATATATCGATACACTTTTCCCAAATTTTAATTTCTTTAATAGTTATGGGTAACAAAGATAATGTAAGTGGTAACGATGGGAATGATGAAAATATAGACGAAAACATCAAACATAAACGTAACAGAAACGAAAACGGTGATAAAAGCGCCAACGATAACAATGTAAATGAAGAAAACAAAGACAATAACGAAGACAACAAAAACGGAAATGATGACAGTATTCAAATTATTATCATTAAATCATATAAAATAAACATTGGTCCAAATAAATATTTACAATGTTTGCCTCAAAATGAAAAGCTTGACAATGTTCGCTCAATGCTCTTAAAAAAAAGAGAATGCGACAGTGATGATTTTCATATGGGATCAAATTGCCATTTTTTGCATTTTTCAAAAGACAAAGCGGAAATCATGCCAATTGATGAGCATAGATTTGATCTTTTAGAAATCATTGAAAAAAGAGACAACAATTATTTCTTATACATAACTCAAAATATTGAATTTGATTTGACTCAATTAAGGTTTGAAAAAGGATTCAGGCTTAAAAATGATGGCTCCATAACAAGTGCGACTGCTCGAGCATTCAAAATTAATTTAGATAAGATTAGTATAGATGCAAAAGAAGAACATTATGACAAAAATATATATGCAACCACGAAACAACCGCAGAATGTAAACGACCTCTCATATTTGATGTAAAGCTTTCAACTGCCTGTTTAGAATGGTTCTCTACTTCTATTGAATTTTCGCATGCAAATTCTGACCAAACACTTACACAACACACGACATACACTAGACATAAATGTGAACGGATAGTAAAAGGTTCACTAACTATTCCAAATAAAAATATCATCGTAGAAAAAAATTTCATTAAAGAAATTAAGGAAGTGTTGAAAGATAAAACTAATGATAAAATGAGTAAGCTTCATAAAGTATCAGAAAAATACGGCCACTTTTATTCACGGCGTTTATTTTTGGGGAGCAATATTAAAAAATGAAAAATATACAAAAAATTCAGGTGTGTATAAAATGTTTCCTATTAATACAATAAGCCATTAATTTCCTCATATTTAATGTGTTATACTGTAGCCGAAAGTTCTAAGGTAAAAGTTACTAGTGCACAAATTAGTGTCGGAATTGCCACAAATAGTCTAAATTCAAGAGTCAATGCTGCTCATATACACGAGAACACATGTAGTAATCATAAACACAATACAAATAATGTTGAATCAATTATTGGTGGAACAAATTATTCTCAAGATGATGAAAATTCTTGGAGGCAATCTCTTAATGATCCAACTACGTGGAAAATAATTGGATACGAAGAAGTTTATTCATTATTTGAATTGTTAGATAATGAATTGAAAAAAAAAGTGTTAGACGTCGTGGGTCATCAAATTTTAGAAGGTAGAGGCTTAATATTATTCACGTGAAGTTATTTATTCTTTCAATAAAATCTTAATTACAAATTTATTTTTAATAACAGCAAAAGTTGATGAAATCCCTTTCAACATAAGGGAATATGAAAAAAGTAAGAAACCATATATTCACAAATTGTTAATAACTAATAAGATGATAAATGTTAGTGAATGTAATATTCTTGCATCAATTGTGAGTGAGGAAAACAATGTATTTTCACTGCACGTGGAATATATTAAAAATCGTCCAGTTATTGTTATTCATCATATACAAGGTGAAAAGACTAAATTATTTAGTAATAAAGTTACAATTAAGCTTGGATGGATCACCATTGGGCCACCAATAGGATTCGATTTTGGTATCCAATGTCCACTAGTACTCAAAAGTGGGAAATACCAGGCTCTTGGAGATAAAGATTATCATATAATAAACAATTGTGGCATTTTTAGCACTTGCGCCTTAGAAGCAACTAATATTACTCCTCAAGTAAGAAGTAGTTCAGATATAAGAACAGCTACTTACCGTCAAATACCTGACAACCCAAAAGAATCACCATATGTTATTGGTAATTACCTTACGTCCGCATGTCGAGAGTCTACATGGTTGTTGGTTTATGACATTAAAGCTAAAAAAAAAGTAACTGATGAAGAAGTCTTGAAAAGATTGGCTTTATACAGTTGGTAAATATTTGCTTCAATAAAAATTTCAGATGCCAACCCATATATCCATTCCATTGCATTTGTACAATATTTATAAAATGTTTGATCAATAAACATTTTCTATTATAATAATCGTTAAATTTGGTTTCATTTATTACCAGACGTAAAATTTGGCATATTGGTTTGACATCTGAATCTTTCTTTATTTTACTAAAATTTATATTAAATATGCTTTATCTAATTCATTTGTCTATGGTCCATTATTTATGTAATAGTATTGTCGACGAAACTAGTTCTCGTCAAATTAATGACTTTTTTGGTGAAATGAAATTTAATTGGATCAAGGGAAAGAATAAGGAAATACTATATAGTAGCGAAAGAATTAAAATCTCTAATGATAATTTGATCTTAATGAATCAAATATTTGAACATGTGATTGTAAAGATTGCCAACCTCTCGGATTTGTTAATGTTATTTCAGATAAATTTTTTTATGGGTCATTAAATTCAAAACAATTAAATATAGACGAAAGTGATGGATTAATTGTTTATCTTTCAATTCCTTCGGAATTCATTACAAAAAGACAGTAAAGGTTTTTTATCCTCCTATAAATTATCTTCATAATTTCGAATAAACTATTTTTTTTTCTATATTCTTACGAGTTATTTTAAATTAATTTCAATCAATCAATATAAGCATATAACAATAAAAATTTGAAATCTGGAGACTATAGCTCACTTGATGTTGTTCAATATACTAGGAAACGGGAACCGTTGAAATCCGGAGCCTAGATTTTTAAACTATTTTCTATTATTAATTTTACTTTGAATTTCAAAATACAGTCAGACCTCTCTAAGTGCACGCCCTTGGGACCACACTTTAATAACGTTCATATCATCATATATATAAGGGACAACTTTCAGCAAGCGCTCTGATTGGCTAAAGTGAAGGGGTATAAAGATCTTGAGATAAGGTGTAGTGACGAATAAGCAATTTTGACTAGTTGATAGCAACTGTGTTAATCTATTACTATTAGTAGATTTAGATTACTGCTTAGGCTAATTTTCGTCTGGTTTATCTCGAATAATAATAATGTTTTAAATTAAAGTTGATGATAAAGATTTTGAGATAATGCATCAAATAAGCTGATAATTTTTGAAAATCAGTTGTTGCTTAAAACATTATCGTAATACATACTGATACTGTTAGTAAACTAAGATGGTTTGCATAGCCATGTCAATCAGGTTTAATTTTTGCGGTTAATCTTGAATGATCTTTTATATATGAGGGACAAAATTCAGATTTGCAGATAAAGATTTGTAGATAAGGCTGGTAACAAATAGTTGATCAATTGTACCTGTATTATAGGTATAGAAATATTTAAGTTACAGGGTTAGTAATATCTTTACAATAGCTACAATATAACCCATTAACATCAATGTATCTGCACCTATAGTCCATGTTAATTATAACAATAAAATTTAATAAGTAGATAAGATTTCAGTAATAACAATTTCTATGTAATAATTATAAAGACAGGTAATAAAAATTTGAAAATAAAGCTGATGCCAAATAAATATTCTTTACGTCATATGCATAATTTTAAGAGGTAAAAAATGGAGACAGGATTCTGGGCAATTGTATTTTCCCAAAACTGGTGATCTACATAAATTTATATACCACAAAACACATTTTAATGATTCCAGCCTCCGTTGATCCAGTATTTGGTGGGTAGTAGGTGGGTTCATAATTGTAATGATAAGTAGGTTTTTGATTCGATAACTGTAAAATAAATAATATAGATACTATAAATATAACATGTAATAGATATGCTATATGTAAAGCATTTCACGCAGTAGATTATTAGCCAATCAGATTGTGATATATGTAATCTACATATAAATCATTTGATCAAATCACATTTTAATAATATCTCGGCATTCTGTAATTGGATTTGGATGCTCTCACTACCTTTAGATTCGTCTTAATGAACTGACTCGAATGGTGGTAGTTTCATCTTGATTGGACTGGTGTTTGTGAGATATTCTTCAAAACAGCCTTTTTCCTAATATTAACAATATCAATCAAGCTACTGCAAATAGATTAGAACCAGTTAACCTAGTTGAGGAGTCTAATATAAACCTACTAGACTTTACTATTAAGTAAGTATCTATCTAGATAATCAGCTATCTAGTTTGGTAATTCAATAGAACAAGCAGATAAAATTACCAATATCAATTAAACAACTAACAAACTTAGAGAAAAACAAGTACACAAACTAGGCTATCTGAATTGAGAGTTTAAAAAAAGAAAACAAGAGTTACTAAAATACTAGAAATATACTGTAAAGTAAGTTCTAGAGTCTGAACAAACTAATAAAAGTATATATAAGCAGATAGCAAGTTCAAGCCAAACTAGTGTTTAAAACAGTGTATAAAATCTATGTGCACAATGTGCTCAGTGCACTTTTTTTAAAAAAATTTTATATGTTTTTGGGTAGAAATATCACAAACTTTTGGACCAAATAGTGCATTATAATCATTAATAAATACTGAAGGTGTGCATATAGAACACATTGTGCATATATATATATTTAAATTTATCTATATAAATTTAATAAATTTAATAGACAATCCATCTGTTATCTGGAGAGGATCTGCAAATTTTATAAGTAAATTTTACTATTAAGCCAAATGTGGAGATTTTTTAAAGAAATGTAAAGAAACTTTTTTTTACTATATAAATCATTCTTGGGCTTATAACAAAAGTTGTAGAGCTCATCAAGATGCATCTAATGGTAGTAAGAATATTAAAAGTGGCTTGGTAGTTCTTAAAAAATCTTTAAAAAACATTTCACTGACATATAAAATTTCTTTTGATTTTTTTTAAAGAAATTTTATATGTTGGTAAAACATTTTTTAAGATTTTTCAAGAACTACCAGGCCAATTTTCACAATTAGATATGATTTAATGAGCTCTACAACTTTCATTATGAGCTCAAGAGTGATTTACTTAGTAAGAAATACTTTTCTTTACATTTCTTTAAAAAATATCTACATTTATTATTTGAAGATTTTATATATAATTTATATATAAATCTTGTATAACAAATATCACATAGCTCTTCAGATGACTGGCGAATCATCTATTAAATTATATAACAAAATCATATAGTGCATAAATTTTTAAACTTATTCACATAAATTATGTATACATTGTGTACTAGATTCATATACTTTTAGATTCGGATTTTTATACACTGGTTTAAAAGAAATAGAAGTAAAAGAAAGTTTAAATTAGAGAAATAGAACTATAAGCAACTAGCCTTAACCTAATACTATAATACTTTCAGAATAGGCAAAATATGAGCTGCAAGTAATGGCTATGGTCTTTATATATTAACTGAAATGCAGATTATAAATTATATAATATGAGTAGAAATACTACAGGCTCTGCTAAGTTTACCTTGAGAATAAAGAGCCAGAAGTAGGTTAATAATGTGATAGTAGTCTGCTTTAAAGTTCTAAGTTATTAATTAAGATGTAAACTCAGATAACTGGTTATAAACTAGAATGAAGGGCAATGATTACTGTAGACTTATATATATAGACACAGAGAGTTAATTAAATAATTTAAATAATAGGTGGGTTATAAATATAACACCTTATATAGAATCTAGTAATAGATAAACTACTTAAATTAGGTATACAAATAATATAGATAGGGTAAGAAGCATAAGCACACAGGCATGCCTCCATAGGCATGTTGAATATTCTATAAAATTGGTAGGCATTATAAGAAATAAGCTTCATTAATAATTAGTAATCATTAATTTTTAATATCAGAGTTGCAGAGTTTGCGGAGTTTGCCTACCTA